TTATAAGAGATCTTAAACTATGACTTTAAAACTTTGATTGTTTTTTTCTTTATCTGCCTTTTTTTAATAGCTACGATCAGATAAGCTACTGATAATTCATTGTATAAAAATATTGTATGGTTCTAGCAGTTCAATAAAACAAGATGGCCACTAGTTATTACAACCATTGCTTTATGATAGCCATATAGAGAAGAGCACATTAAAACTTGTATTGTTACAGTTATAGTACCTTTTGATACCCATATCTCGAATTGCAGAAGCGGGAGGACCAATAAATATGATATCTTCTTCTGAACATAGCTGTGCAAACTCTGTGTTTTCAGATAGGAAACCATAGCCAGGGTGGATTGCCTGAAATCATCACAGTCAGGATTATTATCAGCTGAGATATAAGATAATATTATTATACATGTATCATTACATAATATTCTAACATCAGTAACAGTGTCTCAATGATGATATTCTCTCAAGGAGTATGCACCCAACCTTAGTAAGAAATGTACAATGTTAAAAAGGAATAATCTTATAACCCAGTTTCCTAAATCTACCATTGTGAATTGAGTTTATAATTACCTTAGCACCTGACTTTTTAGCAACATCAATTAGTTTACGTTGATCTAAATAGCTTAATTTGGCTTCAGCAGGGCCAATATGGTATGCTTCATCAGCCTGGAACATATTTATAACACAGTGTTATGGCCTTGCAACGTACATACATAGTCATTCCTAAATATAGTGATTGAAGACTAAGTTACAATGCAAAGACATTACAGCCATGGATTTATGAGACAATAACACTATATGCCATAAGAAAAAATAATATTTGATCTTTAATCTAGAAATAATCTAAATAATGAACAACAAAAAGAGTATAAAACATGTATAAAGAAGTACTGGTAATACAGATTACTGCCTATCCCAAATCTCGCTCATGGTGATACTTGGCAGGTCTGGGATATTTTGGTTGCAAAAAAAGCTGACAATTTATTTACAAGAAAATATCTAGTGCAGATCAAAGTATCAGAAGTATCTCGTAAGTATTTTAATTTAGTTATTCATAGTCACTTATTAATAAGAAATGCAACGTAAAAATGTGACTAGTGTGAACAATATGTTATCACTGTGAAAAGTGTGAAATACTTTAGTTTCAGTTTATCTCCCGAAAACTCAAATTCCTGTTTCTTTTAGAAAAAATCATGCTGTTTTCAACAAAATCAATGCCAAAAGATTGTACTGCAACACTTATAAGTCACTTCCGTTTTGGTGTGCGCTTTACAAGTCAGTTCGAAAATTCTCAAATATGTTCGGCTGGCACCACCCAGCATTCTGATTGGTTAACAGCCGACTAGACCTACCAGGAAAAATGACACAGTTTCGATCAACTCTGCATGAGACAAACATGGTGTATGACAAAATTGGTTTGCTTACCAGTTGATTTTTACCTGCATTTCACAACAAACTGATATTTTGTACGCTACCCGGTAGTATAATCCAGACTGAGTAATAACCAATGTTTGTTATAACTTGAAAACAAGTAAGTTATTCACCTGTGATATTTTCAACTGTTTGTGACACATATTTTTAAAACCAACTGGAGCCTTTTATTACCACAAGAAGAAAATCACATGACCCAAATATAATTACAATGAATTTAAAGTTCTGAAGTTACAGTGAGAGTGATTCATAGACTAAATGTTACCTTTGACACATGCAATGCATTCTGGTCCACATCACTGTAGACAGCAACAGTTCGTATACCAAGCTTCTTAGAGGTATCTATGACTCTACATGCTATTTCACCGCGATTAGCAATCAGAACTTTATCAATGTTCTGAATAGAAGCTACAAAAGCAACAAAGTACACAGTGCATCTTAATCAACAATGTACATGATTGGGTGAGATAATCTGAATCAAGTTGATCAACAATGTGAACTTATCACACTTTATAAATAATAAAAACATGAGAAAATTGAAAACAAGCAGCCTTACCAAATATGACAAAAATATTCACCAAAATTAGAAAATTAAAGATATCATCATGAAATGAACAAATTTGAGAATGGTCCACATGTAGTACCTATATATGTAATATCAAAGCAATTGGACTTGCGGTTTTTAACAAGAAGTTGAAAATATCACTTTTTACAAAAAATGACAAAAGTATTCACCAAAATTAGAGAATTAAAGATATCATTACAAAATGAACAAATCTGAGAGAGGTCTACCTGTAGTACCTACATATGTAATATCAAAGCAATTGGACTTGCGGTTTTTAACAAGAAGTGGAAAATATCACTTTTTACCGAAAATGACAAAAATATTCACCAAAATTAGAGAATTGAAGATATGATCATGAAATGAACAAATCTGAGAGAGGTCTACCCAAGGTACATATACACCAAGTATCAAAGCATTCAGGCTTGTAGTTTTCAAGAAGAAGTCGAATAAGTAAAACATTGACACGGACGACGACAGACAATCACTCATATGATAAGCTCCGCTCGACAAAGTCGACAGCGGAGCTAACAATTGCGAATAACTAAAATGAGTATTGATTTTTGATATTTTAATACATGTATCACAAACAATTTTTATCTATTAATGATTTCAAATTGCAATTCGAATATTTCAGTTTTTTATCAATAAACTTTTGTAAAATCAATGGATGGCCAGTGATAAAATAGTCAAATGTACATTCTTCTGAAAAACATATCTTGTTTTTATTTTGAAAATTGACACTGCAAATTGAGAAAGAGTTTTGAACTGCATTTTAGACTTAATACTTACAACATAAAGTATTGGATGTGCAGATACAGGACCTGAAAATAAAATACAATTTAGACAATATTTACATGTGAAGTTGTACTCTCTGCATAACAAACCCATTCCCTTCATTTTTATAAATATTTATAAACTTCACAATTTAATTTGAAGCGAGCGGTTTCTATTCGCTGTTTGAATAAGATTGGGAAATTTACAAATAACATTGTCGCTCACTGTGCTCGATTCTCACCCTCTGAGGATAGAGTGTTAGTAAAAATGTATTGATTGGTTGATTTGATTCAACTGCCATTGAAATTGAAAGGGATGGCTTTGTTGTGCCAAGAATACAATTCCACAGCGTACAAATGAATTTATTTCATTATTCAAGTTTTTAGATATTGTGAAGTCATTATTCTTAAACATAAAGTAAAACAAGCAGCCTATCGGCTGAGATAGCTCCGCTGTTAGCAATGCATATTTCAATTAAAGAACTGAAGACATCATTAGAAAATGAACAATATGAATAGTATCAAAGCAATCGGACTTACAGTTTTTACCAAAAGGTGTCGAAAATATCACTTTTTACCAAAAAATTACAAAAATATTCACCAAAATAAATTAATTAGAGAATTGAAGATATCATCACAAAACGAACAAATCTGAGAGAGGTCCACATGTAGTACCTATATATGTAATATCAAAGCAATCGGACTTACAGTTTTCAACAAGAAGTCGAAAATATCACTTTTTACCAAAAATGACAAAAATATTCACCAAAATTAGAGAACTGAAGATATCATCACAAAATGAACAAATCTGAGAAAGGTCTACATGTAGTATCTATATATGTAATATCAAAGCAATTG